TGGTAATTAAGTTCCCAACCACTGCTGTAGTAGCAGTCATTGTCCGCTACTGCTCCTCCTTTCGAGCCAGTGCTCAATGCACATGACAAATGCAAAGTACTGAGGATGAGTCAGAGCGCTGCAGGAAAGGCCAGCAGTTCTATCGCTCGCCGCCGGTGACTGTAAGGAGGGAGCCGCGGTGGCCCTTCCGTGTGCGATAACTGGCATTTAAATTTCAGAATGTCACGTGATATCAACATGCTGCGGGGAGCCTTTCTTATTTCCTTGCTTTGCACTTTGTAGAGAGATCGCCTGCTCTGGTCCAGATGTGGACATTTTTCGCAATTAGTGATTGACTGCAATTAAAGCTCACGCGTACGTCAAGCCCACTCAATTTATTTTCATTTTTATTGAATTTTTTTTTATAAAATTAAAGAATCGTGATCTATCAGAAAAAAGTAGTTCGATTTTACTATAACTTCAAGGTATGCGTAACGTAATTTTAATTTTCTACTAATTTTTTATGTTAAATAAGTATTTTTTATGTTTGTTTTTTTATTTGTTTTATATTTAAACTAATTTACTATTCGAATTCAAGGGTGTGTTTGGCAATCACGTAAAAGTTGGGCCAAGTTCAATTTTGGTCCAGTTTTTCTCTAAACCTGTTTGGAGTCGGACCAAGCAGAGAGAGGTCCAATGCGGAACTGGTTTTATGACCTCTTCTTGTTCTTAGAAGTATGCAGGCTGTCTAAAAATCACAATAGATAGCTTATCCCCCATCAAACACCGATGATGGAAGTTACAATCTGACGACTTCCAGAAGACTACAATTTGAAGACTTTCACATAGATCGCTGAAGGTTATAATCTGACGACCTTCACGACAACTGATGAAAGCTCTAATCAACGGCCTTCACTGACGACTCTCATATTCTCAAGGAGCCAAGACGAAGATTACAAGACAATGATCTTTGCAACGCAATGACAAAGGCAAGACGCGGAGGTCCTCCCCGTGTATCAACAGTAAAACGCCAGGGTCGAACCCGCGTTACAATGTCAAAACGCCAGGGTCGAACCCGCGTTACAATGTTAAAACGCCAAGGTCGAAACCCGCGTCACAACATCAAAAACGCCAGGGTCGAAACCCGCGTTACAACATCAAAAAACGCCAGGGTCGAAACCCGCATTACAACATCAAAACGCCAGGGTCGAAACTCGCGTTACAACAAGCCAAAACGCGAGTAACCCTCGCGTTCATTGGTGTTCAGCCAACACCCAACCTCGCGTCTCAATTCTAAGAGGCGAAGTTGGGTCCTGAACGCCGACATGGGCGTTTGACTCATTCAACATGAGCTGAACGGTTCTAAAACCGCTTCCCACGATTTGGGGGCGGTTACACCCCACTTAGGAGCGAAGTAAGGGGGCGGTTACACCTCTTAATTCCCTATAAATATGGGTAAACCCAACTGAGTTAAGGCTGGTTTTTTGGAAACGGAAGAGTTAGCAGCAAGGCTGGCATTTTCAGATCTGGGACTTCGCAGCAAAGGTTTTGGAGGAGATCGGCCTTGATCCTTCAGCAACGATCGACCACAGAGCTTTCTCTAGCCTTGGCTTATTAACCGATCTTCGGTTCAAATCAACTCTTTTACAGAGTTCTTCTAAACTCGTTCAGAGTTCTCAAACTTGCCACGCAAGTTCTCCACAACGTCAAATCGTGAGGAGAAGACATCGTTCCAGTGAATCAAGACGTGCGGATCGTCAACGGAGAGCAAACTCGACGCAAGCATTCGGGGGAGGCACTCCATCGCCACCGTGAAGAACCCAGTTTTAAACAAAGAGGAAGAACCAATTTCGTTCTCCTCTCTTTTGTAATCAAGTTGTAACCGAGATCAAAGAAATACAAATCAAATTTTCTTTATTCTCTTCTTTGCAATTTTCCCTTCTAACTGTTGCTGGAGTGCCGAAGAAAGTCCTCTCCTTTGGCCGCAATTTGTCGAACAGTCACTCTGCTTCAGGAGCGAGCTTAGCCTCAGCCGAACTCGCCCAGCGAGTTGAATGTCCCACATCCGCGTCAACACGATGTGCTTCAGGCCATAAACGGCTTAGAGAGGAGACGAGCTCCATAAACGCCGATGATGCCTCTGCAAAAGCCTTAAAACAGGCCAAGAAGAACGCTGCTCGGCGAAGAAGAAGGTCTCAGCGACGGGCACAACTTCGAGAAAATCGATCCTCCAACCAACGCGAACTTCGCGTTCATGAGCCTAAACGCGACCCTGAGCTCAAACATGAGCTTCGCGAGAACCAGATTGAACGCGGCCCTCAGTGGCGCGTCTTACAGCCAAAACGCGAACCTCAAGCCTTCATTGAACGCGAACTTCAACTTCGCGTTTCCCAGTCAAAACTCGACCCTCGCGTCGGCCATGAAGAACGCGACCCTCATGTCGCCAAACCAAAACGCGACCCTCGCGTTTCAAGTGCCAAACGCGACCTTCGCGTTTCAAGTGCCAAACGCGACCTTCGTGTCTTAAGTGCCAGACGCGACCCTCGCGTCTCAAGTGCCAGACACGACCCTCGCGTCTCAAGTGCCAGACACGACCCTCGCGTCCCAAGTGCCAAATCTAATATTGAGCCTGGTGTGTACCGTAAATAAATTTAATATTGGGTCATAACTAGCCTAGTTTTTGCCAATCGTAAATAAATTTAATATTGGGTCAGGTTCAGCCCTTGTCCAGTTTAAAGAGTTTGCCAAGCACACCACAAAAATCTTAGCTGGTAATTAAGTTCCCAACCACTGCTGTAGTAGCAGTCATTGTCCGCTACTGCTCCTCCTTTCGAGCCAGTGCTCAATGCACATGACAAATGCAAAGTACCGAGGATGAGTCAGAGCGCTGCAGGAAAGGCCAGCAGTTCTATCGCTCGCCGCCGGTGACTGTAAGGAGGGAGCCGCGGTGGCCCTTCCGTGTGCGATAACTGGTATTTAAATTTCAGAATGTCACGTGATATCAACATGCTGCGGGGAGCCTTTCTTATTTCCTTGCTTTGCACTTTGTAGAGAGATCGCCTGCTCTGGTCCAGATTGGGACATTTTTCGCAATTAGTGATTGACTGCAATTAAAGCTCACACGTACGTCAAGCCCACTCAATTTATTTTCATTTTTATTGAATTTTTTTTTATAAAATTAAAGAAGCGTGATCTATCAGAAAAAAGTAGTTCGATTTTACTATAACTTCAAGGTATGCGTAACGTAATTTTAATTTTCTATTATTTTTTATGTTAAATAAGTATTTTTTATGTTTGTTTTTTTATTTGTTTTATATTTAAACTAATTTACTATTCGAATTCAAGGGTGTGTTTGGCAATCACGTAAAAGTTGGGCCAAGTTCAATTTTGGTCCAGTTTTTCTCTAAACCAGTTTGGAGTCGGACCAAGCAGAGAGAGGTCCAATGCGGAACTGGTTTTATGACCTCTTCTTGTTCTTAGAAGTACTGGGTCATAACTAGCCTAGTTTTTGCCAATCGCAAATAAATTTAATATTGGGTCAGGTTCAGCCCTTGTCCAGTTTAAAGAGTTTGCCAAGCACACCACAAAAGTCTTAGCTGATAATTAAGTTCCCAACCACTGCTGTAGTACTAGTCATTGTTCGCTACTGCTCCTCCTTTCGAGCCAGTGCTCAATGCACATGACAAATGCAAAGTACCGAGGATGAGTCAGAGCGCTGCAGGAAAGGCCAGCAGTTCTATCGCTCGCCGCCGGTGACTGTAAGGAGGGAGCCGCCGTGGCCCTTCCGTGTGCGATAACTGGTATTTAAATTTCAGAATGTCACGTGATATCAACATGCTGCGGGGAGCCTTTCTTATTTCCTTGCTTTGCACTTTGCAGAGAGATCGCCTGCTCTGGTCCAGATGTGGACATTTTTCGCAATTAGTGATTGACTGCAATTAAAGCTCACGCGTACGTCAAACCCACTCAATTTATTTTCATTTTTATTGAATTTTTTTTTTATAAAATTAAAGAAGCGTGATCTATCAGAAAAAAGTAGTTCGGTTTCACTATAACTTCAAGGTATGCGTAACATAATTTTAATTTTCTACTAATTTTTTATGTTAAATAAGTATTTTTTATGTTTGCTTTTTTGATTTATTTTAATTATGTTTTACTATGATAATAGATAGATGGAAGTCTCATGGGATCTTAAGCATTCTATTTGGAATGAGTAGAAATGATAGGATTAATAATACCATTGGGGGTTCTACATAGAAGGAAAGGAAGTGGTGTCATGTGACACCACTTCCTCTAAACATGACCGATAATTATGAAGTTTTTTCATGTAATAAGTGGGATTGAATATTAACTTCAAGGTAGAAATAAATTTTATACCATTTATTAAAGCTCCACATGACACTTTTGCACCCATTAGAAAAACACATGGAGAAAATCTAAGTGTCATAGCTATTAAGTGAGTTACGGGCTTGTATCTTTGAAAAGAAGCAAATTATTAATAATAAAGATGTGATTACTTAGAAATTAAATGGAAATTCTTAAAAAAGGAAAAGAAAAAAATAAAATAAAACACACCACCACATGTGAAAATTCTAAACTTTAGGGGATGTTGCAAGTAACCGCCCTAAACTTTGTTTATCTCACTTAACCCCCCTGAATTACTGGGTGTCTCGCAAACCCCCCCAAACTTTACATTATCTCACCTAGGCCTCCTACCTACAATTTGCAAACAACTAATACTTTCTTGAGAGGGGGTTTAAAAACTCAAAATTTTGGGGGAGGGGGTATATTGCACGTGAATAACAAGTGATGATGTCTGAGATTTTTTTTTATTAACTCAGCGATATTTGAGTTATTTGCAAATCACATGTAGTAGGGGGACTAGGTGAGATAAAGATATAGAGTTTGGAAGCCCGGATACACCCGGTCGTTTAGTTTAGGGTGTTACGTTCAACAACCCCCAAAGTTCAGGGTTTTTTTTGTGAAACTAACTCCACCGGGGGGAGAAAAAGAGAAGGAAAGAAACCGATCAGATCAGATCAGATCGAGACGGAAAGGCATCATGGCGTCGGCGAGCCTGGCCCCGGGCCTCTCCCGGAAGCTGAAGAAGGTGCTGGAGACCCGCACCGACGGCCCAGATCTTCTCGACTCGCTGGCGACCCTGTCGACGTTCTACACCGACAACACGCCGCCAGCGCGCAGGAACCTCAAGTCCTCCATCGAGCAGCGGGCCCTGGCCATTGTGAGTTGTAATCAGTCCAAGGATTGTTAGTTAGTAGAATTCTAATTAGAGTAGAATACTAGTTAGTAGATAGTTTTCTAGTTATTGGATAAGATTAGAGTTGTAATCTTAATCCTATATATATGTAAACAATTGATGAGTTTTGTTAGAACGTGAATAATAGAAAACACAAAAAAGTTTCCTGCTCCATTACTTTTGTTGCTGCTCCTTCTCTGTTCGGGTTCAATATCAGAAACAGATATTTTCTCCTCTGTTTTGCTGCTGTCCGTTCTCAGGAAATCTGCCAGTTTTTTTTTCGGTTGCTACAGTGTTTACAGGTTTGTAAATTGCTGTTTTTTCTAACTCAGTTCAGATCTGATCTCTGGCCGATCCTGTTAAAGAGCCAACAGCCATCAACCGCCACTTCCTCCTCGCCTCGCTCCCCGCTCAGCAGACCCTCGACCGCGTCGAGGAGGAGGTCGACGCCCTCGCCCGCTGCTGCGACCGGTAAGCTAAAACCCCCCATCTCATCCCTCCGCTAAGATCTAGATCTAGCTCACTCGGCGCCTTTTTGTGAATGTGGGTGTTGAGATTTTTTTAAAGATGAATTCGATACCGTCGTTGAGTGTCCTCTGACGTTTTTTTGGTTAGAAAATGAGTTTGTGCCTTCGATTTTGATGTAGAAGAAATTGATATGATATTATGGTAGGCTTTCCTGTATTTGAATATTAATTCATCACATACGCTTGCTTAGCTTATTGTTAAGGTAGGCGATGATCTTTTTGTTTAAAGTTATCTTCTTAAGTCTGCTCCGTAGATCGGCGACCCTCTTGGCATTTTGATGGCCTAATATTTTGGCCGCCTGGACAAGCCTTTCGCCGTGCACATATTTTTTTTATAGTACTACCATGGGAAAATGGTATTAACATATAAGAAGAAAATATGATTGATCCATCGCTAATCACGGTGAAAGATTATATATCATCATTATAACAGGCCATGTAATTTGTTAGCAAAACTTAGACCGCGTTTCATATTCCTGCGTAAAAAAGCTATGGATTTAAGTGGCAACAAGGTCTTCTATAGTTGACCAATATTTTGTGGGTCTAAAGGCTAAATAGCACTCAAGAACCCTATCGTAACACTTTTAAGTTGTAAAACGTAACACTTGATTATCGTAACTTGTCAACTGCTAGAGCGTTGAGAAGGTGTTAAAAAAGCCTGTTAGGATGGAAATACCCCCGTGTGTAACTTAACCCCTCCAACAGTTAAGCAAGGCTGAATATCAGCAAGACGGAAATACCCCGAAATTTGAAAATATCATAAAACCCCCGTAATTTCATTTAAGGGGTTCCCTTATAAACTCTAAAAGTTAAAGGGAGTAGTTTGATAAAATCTTAAAGTTAAAGGGTGGTTTCCTGATAATCCTTATACTTTTGGGGTTTTTTTTTGAAATTCACGTGGGGTCATCTGATAATCTTCCAAAGTTATCTTGATATTTAGTTGCTAAACAATCCCTGTGGAATAATTAGAAGGGAAATTAGGGAAGTAGGGAAATTGGGAAAGGGGGAAATTGTGGGAAATGGGGAAATTGGGAGTTAGGTAAAAAAAATGAATGATATAGTTTGACGAAAGGAGGGCAGGTATGTAGTAATTGTAACAAGAATTAGGTTCAAAACAGTTCTAACTATGGCATGTGACAGTCGCATGAGAATATTTCCTGGAATATCCTCACTTCAAACTAACAAAAGACAGTAACACACCAGATTAGACGACTTATGGTATCTAAATGTTATGTTTTATAACTTAGGGTATTTAAGTGTAAATGTGGTGAATCAACAAGGTATTTAAGTGCCACTTAGCCGGGTCTAGATTTATGATATTGTTAATTATGACATATGATTTCTTTGCAAACATATACATGGCGTTCTTAATCAACTAGAACACAGTTTCATTTGTGATAATTTGCTATCTTCTCGGGAAGGCATAACTGTAGTGTTTACTTCTTTCGTGGTAAGAGACAATGGTTTCATAGTGGTTCCAAATATTGTAGTTTTGTTATTCATGATACAGGGTTCCAGTTGCATTCTTGTTTTATTTGGACTCTCTCTGTAAAAAGAGTCTGTAAGGAGAAAACTCAAAGATCGATTTCTGGCTAAGCAATATTGTCTTTCAGGATTGCCCAGGTATTGAACAGCTGTAGTGAGAGTACGGCGGATATCATTAGTACCACGGAGAAGTTAAAACAGGATCTTGATATTACTACACAACGACAAGAAATCGTGTCATGCTTTTTACGTGATTATCAACTTTCTAATGAAGAGGTGTGTAAGCTTTTACTCGGGTATATAATGTTATTGAGAAGTCAACACCCTTGCTGTATATTGACTTGAGGCTTACTTGGCTTTTTTGAGTCAGCAATAAATGTAATCCTTACAGCAACTAATGTGCACCTATGCACGACTGTCTTCTGAGCAAAATGTCTACATGTTTGCAGATAAATGCACTAAGGGAAGAAGATCTGAATGAGAATTTCTTCAAAGCACTTTCTCATGTTCAAGAAATTCATGCCAACTGTAAGATATTGCTGAGAACTCATCACCAGGTATTAAGCCTTTTAATTCAAAAGAGTTTACAAAGTAGGTACTATTCCGGAAATTGGACTCTTGACTGTTTAACCTGGTTATGATATTACTGGAAATTTGAATATATTGTTCGTTTATTGAAACTTACTGGAAGACTCCTTGAAATACACCCTTTGGTAGCTCACCTAAATAATGTTTTGTTGTGGTCATTGTGGACTTCCTTATTGCAAATGTCCATTATATAGAGCTGCACATCTTATCCATGCATTTAACACATACATGAGTACTTGTGTGGGTGTGGATGTGCACACATACATGAGCAATTGTGTGTGTGTGTGTGCGCGCACACTTACCTGTCTTACGCATGCACTTTTATGTACCAAAGTCACTGTGAAAATACAACTGGCAAATTAAAACATAATTAGCTAATGGTGATTCTCCTTTTCCTTTACTGGAAATCTATTTCTCAGCGTGCTGGCTTGGAGCTAATGGACATGATGTCTGTATATCAAGAAGGAGCCTATGAACGCTTATGCAGGTGATATATCTTGCAGAACATTGACTTTGCTCTGAAATTTATATGTTTTTGAAAGAGAAAGAACACTTAGCACTCTCATTATTTATTACTTAGTGATATTTTTTCCTTTGAACTTGTTCTATTAAATCTTGGCCTGTGGTGGTTGTGAATTCTAGACATGTCAGACCAGTTGCACCATCTGTTTCTTTCAAGTGATTGGTTACCCAGTTAATGTTAGCTATGAGGAAATATTAGGACCTACACCTGAAGTGTAGCATACAAAAAAATTAGTCACACTATCGATTGAAGTATATTAATTTTCTCAGATAGAATTCTATGTGCATCTATAAGGTATTGTGTGATCAAATAATAATACTCAGATTATAGAAAGCTTTTGGCATGATACGATTATTTCCTTTTGTTATAGTATTTATAGTTTTGGTCGATACAGGACAAACTATTATGAATTCTGGTTGATATATGAACAGTGAGGATCAACAAACAAAATTAAGACTGTATCATCGATGTCATCGCCTTTTTCTCTTCTACATTGTGAGCTAAGGTGCAATGTAGGAAAAAACCCGTTTCAAAACCTGTTTAACTGTTTCAACACCTAATAGCGCCAAAGTGTTATAAAACTCGGGCAAAAAACCCGTGTTGCATTTAATGCAGAAAATAACACCAAAAAATCGGCTTTTATCCGTGTTACGGAAAGCTTTATTTAACACTTATTAGATTGGTTTAAATTTATGATCAGATTTGGACGCACGGTGATATCTCCACTGTCCAAATCAGTATTGCATTAACCGAAATAAGTTCCCAATTGAATCCTCCGATCCCTATTTTATTCGCGTGAAAGCCCTAGCGATCCACCGACCCTATATCTAGCGCCTTCCTCATCTCCTTCCCCTCCACCTCCTCCTCTCACTCCTTCGACGAAGAAGCTTCTTGATCTCTTCTTCCTCTCACTCGCTGGATGAAGACGAAGCCTCTCGTAGATGACAAGGCTCTTCTCGTCCTCTATCTCTGCCAATGACGAGGCTCCTGTCTGGTTCCTCCTTGGCTTCCATATCTCGTTGGCAACCCTCGGCGAGACGAAGAAAATCCTAACCCCATCTCCACCTCCAACGCCATTTCAGCTTCTAAATCCTAACTCCTTTCGACAAAGATGGAAACCTTCTAAATCAACTCCTGTAACTCTTCCAGTCCTTTTTGTTTGAAAGTATGATGATTCTAATCATTGAAGTCATTACGAATAGTTTGTATTTATGAAATATCTAAATAATTAATAAATAAAATAACCTACGTTATGCGTTATTTTTTTGTATTTCTTCTCTCAACCCTTACCAGAAGGTAGAGCGTTATGTTATGCGTTATCATTATTTTCAACATTGCTAAGGAACATATAAGATCAGAAAATTTAACCAAATGTTACATACAGGAAAGTATTTTTGGTGATCTCTTGGTATAATCCGAGGACCTTGTGCATATGACAGGCGTTTGCTATAAAACTCAGACAGCCAACAGAGGTAGGAGAAACTGTGTTGTTGCTCACAGAATTTAAGCTCATGGTACTAAAGAGCAGCCCCCAAAAACATTGTAGACTAAGAGCCTAAAGAAGAGAGTGAGATTGATGACCAAGCTGTTGAGATAATCGAACTCTGCGTACCACACTTTTACCCTGAAGCCTCGTCATAAGCTGTCCAGCTTGAGTTTTAAGGGTATTTTTCAACATTTTCCTCGTCTCAGCATGTCATGTCCACATTGGTGCACTGCACACAGCTCCAATGAGGTAGTGACATCGCTTTATCATGTGGGGACATAGAATGACTGAAGATGGGAACCTTGGTTGCTTACATGCCGGTTCGAGAAAGGGATGATGAGACCCAAAAAGAGTTTTTGGCCTCAGGAAATGATCTGATAGTATTTTGCCTAATCAGATTCATACCAGTAGGCATGATTTGTAAAGCTGAATTGTGCAAGGAGAACAATCTTTCTGACAGAAAATTATGATATCGCAGAGTGGCCTGGAATTTGTGAAATGCAGCAAATGCTATATTTTCTTTATAGTCTTAACAATATGCTTCATTAGTCACTGAAAATAATTTCTGCCTTGTTTATTCTCATGTAAAACTCTGAATGTCATATAGCTTATTAGTTTATTTCTGGATTTCGGGAACATAAGTCTGTATGTGTTTTTTTTCCTTTTTTTTGTTGTATATTTCAGGTGGGTTCAAGCAGAATGTAAAAAATTGGGCGACAGTGATAATCCTGAAGTTGCTGACCTTCTCAAGACTGCTGTCCGTTGCCTAAAAGAAAGGCCAGTTCTTTTTAAGTATTGTGCCGAAGAAGTATGAAACAATCTTGCAAATTTTTTTTGTGCAAAAGAAAAAAGTTTCATTAATAATGAGAACCTATATTTGAACCATGTAGGTAGCAAACATGAGACATCATGCATTGTTCAGACGATTTATAAGTGCTCTGACACGAGGAGGGCCTGGAGGACTCCCAAGGCCTATTGAAGTGCATGCTCATGATCCCTTGCGTTATGTAGGAGATATGTTAGGATGGCTCCATCAGGTCTACTTATTTGTTTTGTGCTTGGAATCTCAACCTAATTTTAATTGCATTGTAATGAAATTAACTTCTTGATCTTTGTTTCATGTGAAGGCTCTAGCTTCTGAAAGGGAACTAGTACTCGCACTACTCAGTCCAGATGCGGCGACAGATACCGGACCCACTGCTCGCCGCTTTTCCAAGTCTTCTGAAAGTGATTCTTCAAAATCAGAGCCAGATATAACCTTTGTTTTGGATAGAATATTTGAAGGTGCATGCCGACCCTTCAAAGTCAGAGTGGAGCAAGTTTTACAGTCTCAGCCTAGTCTCATTGTTTCCTTCAAACTGAGCAACACTCTGGAGTTCTATAGTTATACAGTAAGTTGTCAATTGTGCCTCTAATCTTTACCAGTGTTATTTCTGTTTATTTCTTACATGGAAATGCTTATTCTTTTATAGATTTCAGACTTGCTGGGAAGGGAAACAGCTCTCTGCAATACACTTTGGCTGCTTAAAGATGCCGCTCAGCAAACTTTCTTTAATATTCTGAAGACGCGGGGTGATAAACTCTTGAGGTATCCGCCTTTGGTTCCAGTTGATTTATCCCCACCATCAGCAGTAAGGGAAGGTGTTTCTTTGCTGCTTGAGCTTATTGATACCTATGACGGCATGATGGTTCCTGCATCTGGGAAGAAGCCTGACTTTGATCCTGTGATTGCTGCTTTACTTGATCCTATAATTCAGGTATGCTTCAGATTTTAAAAGCTCTGGCATCCACTTGGAGCCAGACTTCATACTAACATGTAACTGAAAATAGTGAAGTGCCAGCATATCAAAAGCTTTCTTGGTAGGCTTCACAAATAGCTTACAAGATTTATGCCTTGATTAGCAATGTCACTGATTTTAAAGTTCGTAGGCTTCACAAATAGCTTACAAGATTTATGCCTTGATTAGCAATGTCACTGATTTTAAAGTTCCTTTCTGTTGATGTTACTTGTAAATACAAGATTTATGCCTTGATTAGCAATGTCACTGATTTTAAAGTTCCTTTCTGTTGATGTTACTTGTAAATTGGCATATGCAAGAGAAAATTAATGACATGTAACAGGTGGTTGATAGCAAAAAGTTAAGTGATAATAAATATTTGTTTCTCTGTCCTTTCTTCAAAATACTTTGTAACTGGGCATGGCATGTACAGTTTTGAACTCCAAACCTCTTGTGCAACAGCAAAACTCTTTAGCGTGGTGCCACTGACAACCTAAGACATATATTAGTAAAAGAATGTTGAATGAGTATCTATTATTTAATGAAATGGTTGATTATATTGAGTACTTGCATTAGATAAATATCCATTGGTCTTCAGAAGAAGAGATCATATCGGAATGTGTGAGGAATATACATTTGTAGCACCAAATATGCTGAGCACCTAATCACTTGCCATGTTCTTGTGTACTCATGCTTGGGCACACAGAGAGAAACAGGAGGGAGGAAGAATTTGATGTCCCAGACACGGTCTTTCAAACATGAAATTCTTAATTTATAAATAGGATTTTTAGCGTGATCAGTCTTCTTCAGTAACTTATTAAATATTCGCTCTCTGTATCATTTCAAGTTATTTGGCACATGCCATGCATCCACGTTTCTCATATGTGAAAGATTCTATCTTTTGTTTCTTTATTTTATTCCATTTTAAAAACACTTTTTAGTTGTTATTTCCTTTGAATCTTTGGTTTACTACTTCAATCCGTGCACTAAAAAGTTTTGCGCACTAAAATGTTTTGATCTTGAATACAAATTGATGATAATCATATAACAGTTATCTCTGAAGATCTTCGTACAGTCCCTTAATAAAACTGATTACGTGATTATTGAGTAAACTTTGATTAAAGTTTATCATTGTTGGTTGATTCTACACATTGATATCTTTGCTTCACATAGGCCTTGCTCAATAACCTATTTTGACGCTTCCTATTTATTAAAGTAGATCTGGAACTTCTTAATCTATTGTAATCTTTTAAGGTTTAAAAACACGAAGGGAATCTGTCCATGCTAATGATACCTGTAAGATATTGTTTGTTTTCTAGATTATAATTTTTAATAGTCATTTGGTTCTCGGCTCGTTGCAGATGTGTGAGCAAGCAGCAGAGGCTCATAAGTCCAAAGGAGCACTTTCAAGGAGAAGAGCTAGCTCTGAAATAGGCTCAAACAGGAGGGATTCTCTATCAGTTGATGCAATCTTGGCGAAGAATAATTCCCTGAATTCTCAGGTGAACATGTGCTCCTTTATCTACTGGTTCCTTGGGGTCTTAAATCAGTTATTTAATTACTTTGAACTAATCTATGTGTCAACTTTAATATTTAAGTTCTTGGTGGTTTCAAAACTTTAGTTGCTTAACATATTAGATGATTTTGCGGCCACATATGATCAAATATGGTTAAAGTTCCACAGTTTGGTCATTCAATTGATAAGTTGCATGTTTGTATCTAATATGCATTTCATAATTTAAATTGATTAGAGTACATGTATGTATATAATCTGCAATTGGTTATGAATATGATTGCTCTGACTATTGATTTCCATCTCTTGAAATTATCTGTCATTGAGTTTATTTGCTTTTAACTTGGCTGACAACTCATTTCCCCGCTTAGAGTCAAGTCATTCAGTCATTTAGCACAGATTATTTATGGATGTTACATCTATTCATTATAAAAAAAATTTGTTGCTGTTCAGTTCGTTGCCTCAAGTTACGATATCTATTTTATTTTACCTACTTGCAGACAGCTGAAACCACATCCAAAATCTACCTCGTCAACTGCTTGTCAGCTATTCAGCAACCATTAATAGGACGCGAGGTCACTGCAAAATATGTGAACAACCTTTCCTCTATCATCGAGACACACACCAATATCCTTGTAGAAAAAGAAGTAGATGCCATACTCCTGAGATGCGGTCTATTGAGCAAGATATCCTACGTTCAGACTTTGAATGATGAGCATGGGCCTTTAGCGGAGGTTGAAGATATGTCTCCGCAAGTTATTTCAGAATGCTTAAGAACCTTTTTTGGGCTTGTCACCGGAAATGAAGGCTCCTTACCAGAGTTTGAACAGTTGCAAGTGCCTAAATTGCGCGATGAAGCATGCGCTCGTGTTTCTAGGGCTCTTTCAGGAGCATACGAGCTTCTCTATGGAGTAATCACCGATCCTCAGAATCTTTACCCTGATCCAAAGTCACTGGTGAGGCATTCACCAGATCAGATTAGAACCATACTGGAGATTTAAAGGCCCGTTTCAGCGTTCTTGATGTGTTGCTAATCTGTAGGCCGTACTGATTTATAGTACAACTTTTCTTGGAACATCAGTAACTCTTTTATCAGAGATATTTTGATGTAGTTTTCGTGCACCAGTTGTTACTGATTTCAGGCTGTGTAATTCATTGCGCTGTTCTTGGAAGGGCCCAAATATTTGGTGATAGGAACACCTTAATTTCAGATGAATATTTTGAGGAGATGTATACGGGTATATCTGGGTATATGATTGTATAATTATGGTGAATAATTGGAAGTTTAAGAATGAATATTGTGCTGTTCTCAGCGAGTTCTATTTGTGGAAATGTAGTCTTCTACTTTTAGTTTACAGTATTTTGATGAGGTATCCAAGAACATCATGAACTTATTATGAATTTGATAGGTCAGAATTTCAGATACTATTAAAACACCAAGCGAAAAAAGCAACTAAGGTATTAATTGAGAACTCCAACCCTGGCATTATGTTGTGCCTTTAGAAACCAAACCAATTGCCGAGAAAGATAAAGAACACACCAACAATAGCACAACCACAATCAACACCAGTTTTACGTGGTTCGACGAGATGCCTACGTCCACGGGGCAAGGAAGGGGGAGTTTTCACTATTAGAAATCATACGTCCACGGGGCAAGGAAGGGGGAGTTTTCACTATTAGAAATCAAGAGGAACAAACTAGGGTTACAATCTCTCACCAAAACCCTCAACATCAAGAGGAACAAACTAGGGTTACAATCTCTCACCAAAACCCTCAACAACTCACTCTTAATCTCTCCATTTGCTCCTAGAATAGAAGCCCAAAGAAAACTCTCTCAATCTGCTCAAAAACTCCTGCCTATTCTGCCAATTCTACACATTAAGCATAAATGAAATATATAGTGATCAACTTAGTGGTGGAGACAACCCTTAAAAGAACTGAATGGAAGAATAATATATTTGTGTATGCAACCTCAAAAATATGAGACAAAAGTTATCCTTAATTTTGTTGAATTCAAAACTTGATTTTTATTTTATTTTTGTGGTCAGTTAAAAGCGTCACTGATACATTCTTGGACAAATTTTATGGAAGGAAGGGGGAATTTGGGAAATTAGGGTTAGAGGAGGATAAACCAATGCAACACACGTAATTATTCAAACTCTCTATTTGGAAAGGCAAACAACTCTCCTTTGGCGGTCGTATAGCTCTCCTCAAATCAGTTCTATCCGCTATCCCTCTATATTACATGTCATTCTTCAAACTCCCTAGTTGGCTCATCAGAGATATCTACAAGCTCAGACGTAATTTTCTCTGGGGATCGTCTTCCGATAGCGCTAGGGGCAATCACTCTGTCAGATGGTCCACCGTCTGCTCCCCAATAGCTGGCGGGGGGCTGGGGGTTCTGAACCTTCAACTCTTCAACTCTTGCCTCCTCTCTAAATGGCTTTAGAAATTCTTGGACAGCAATAACTTTCTGGGAAGGATTCTTCGTTCTATCTACCCATCCATCCCTCAAAACTCCTCATGCCCCAACTAGTGCTCCAAATTCTGGAAGGACGTCCATTNATCTTCTCCTCCTTTGTCAAATGGTCTCTAGGAAATGGCACTAAGATTCTTTTTTGGGAGGACAAATGGTTAGGAGTCAACTCCCTGGCCAGTCTTTTTCTGTTGGCCTACCTCCTTGCCTTCTCCAAACACACTCCTGTAGCTTCCCAAGGCCTATTTTACGAGATGGGGTGGTCTTGGAGACCCATCATAAGGAGGCCTTCTCAAGAGAATGTCAGAAGGCAAGTCCTTGCCCTTAACCACCTCCTGATAGACAACAACCTATCCCCCTCCTCTTCAGTTGACAAGCCTTCCTAGTCTCTCTCCGCATCCAAGAGTTTCTCAGTTAAATCCTTGTACTCATTCTTGGCTGATGGAGGCACCCGTTACCCTTTCTCTTCCATAGTTTGGGACAATTTATTGCCTAACAAAGTTCAGTTCTTCTTCTGGTTACTGAGTTTGAACAGATTGAAGACTAAGGACAGATTGGCTTCCCAAGGTTGGTTACATGACACTTCATGTGTTTTTTGCAATGCAGAAGAATCCCATAACCATCTGTTCCTTTCTTGTATCCTTGCTAGGCAAGTCTGGCCCCAGCTCTTGTCGAGGATTGGTATCAGTGCAATTCCTCCTGATATCCCTCAGTGCTTTGCTTTATGTTCCGACAGCTCAGTCCATGCTTCTGTGCGTCTTCTCTGGGGCATCTGTTTTCCTACAGTCTGTTGGATCCTATGGATAGCTCACAATGATCACATCTTCTCTAACTCAATCACCTCTTCTCATCAAATCATCTACAAGGCAGTTTATTTTATTCTTTTCTGGGCATGTGCTTCTTCTTCTAAGAAGGCAATCAAGCTGAAGAACATCATTCGTTCCTCTGGGCTGGCGAATATTATCGAATCTAGTGAGGATAGCAGCGGCATACCTTGAGTTGCGGTTATAGCTCTTTTGATAATTTTGGTTTTTTTTTTCACCATGCTAGTTGTATTTATTATATAGACATCTACTAGTGATTGGTATTTTACTCTAACTTAGAGTTGTTGCTCCAATCACCAGTAGATATCTATTTTTGTAATCCTCTTTTGCTCTTATATTATTATCAATGATAGGGCTTGTTGCCCTATTTTACATTCAAAAAGAAAAAGGTCATGCTAGTGTTCCAATGTTGCATTGGGTTTGCTCGAAAGTAATTCTATCGCAGCAAAGGCCAGTTTCTTTCAAGCTACAAAAGCAAGCGTTGCAAGATTCTAGACCCTTCACAAGGTTTAAATTTGAAATACAAAATTTGCACAATCCATATTTTGTGAGCAATCTTTTACTCATAGCCAGCCATAATTAAGTTGAAGGAAAATCTTACTCATATTAAGTACCATGCACTAGAATTATCCCTATTAAGGGTAAAATAATATCGTTACACGCCTGTTAACTAGCTAGTCCCACAAATCATTAAGGAATGCGCAGACTGTCTTTGTGGAGAAAAGAGAAACTTGAGAGGATAAACAGAAGATCTATTGTATTCATACTCAATTTGGGTCTTTATCTCTTCAAGAATAATACCATACTAAATAGTGTCATAACGGCAGGCAGAATATATATACACACACGTGCACACGCAATTTCTATAAAATAATTTGGATGTGTGGGGGTAGGGGAGAGCAAGATCCCCCAAACTTACTAAGGTTACCACCAAAATTTACCAAAGAGCATTTTTGGTTATATAACTACATATGAAATGACCATGCTAATTTTGAGCGTTTTCTGCCCAAAGTTATTGGGAGTCGTTGTGTGTTTTAAAAATATTGGGATTAATCTGAGCTCCTAAACTTATTGGGTTTTAAAATTTACCCATACTTTAGTTTTGGGTTTTCTTTTATACGATACTCCACCCCTTAAATTGTAAGTCTCTAAATTTGATTTCAAATCATGACTGTTGTAAATTTGCCTCCAAATTATTTTATCACATGGGATTCTCAGTGAGGTCTTCACACTTGAGTCAGGTGGATGGAGAGACGCTGGGTCCCCGCCTTGTAGTCAGGGGCGTAGCCAGAGCTTGCTTGCCCTGGGCAAGCTGCCAAGGGCAAGAAACTCCGTCTCTCCCACAACCTCTCTCTCCTCCCCTCGCTTCCCCTCCTCTCCCGTAGATCCAACCTCCTCTCCCTGCTCTTCCAGGACCTCCATCTCAACAATCCCCAGCCATCCTCCTTCTCCCGCGCCTCCCTCCTCTCCCTCACGGCATACTCGTAGACCACTTTTATTTTTCGCCCAGGGCAAAAAATAATCCACTTTTATTTTTCGCCCAGGGCAAAAAATAATCATGGATACGCCACTGCTTGTAGTGTTCAATTTTTATCATACTACTGTCGTTGATGAAGCCATCCACGCTCTGCCGTTTGCTTTTCAAAGACAACACATATCGACTGTTCAGAGTATGCGTGATAACACTGAGGGCATGGCTCGGTTTGATCTCAGGAAAGTCGACGAACGTTCGGTTCTCCCGACGCCTGGTTCAAGATACTCCTCGCAGCATTCTCCGGATGACGAATGGAAGTTTTATCTGAATCAGATCAGCGGCCTGTTATCGACGCAACGCATAGCGAAAACAAAGGTCGACGTCTGGTTGCTTGAGAGCTCCGATGGCACGCTGCAGAAGCAGAAAGTTTCACTGACTCTGGACGATCGAAGTCTTACGTCTTCAAAAAAGTAGGTAATTTCTTTTTGACACTGCTCTTCTCAAATTTTCTTGTACCCTCTGCTTACTGGAACGATGTAAACGTTGGTCTTAATTGAGCGCCTATGAGATATTGAGCTGATATTGACATTCATATCAGAATTCTTAGCAGAATGTTTCGGAAATGGATTGCATTCAAGTGTTGCTCTTATTAGTAGAATTCTTACTCATCCCTCTAGAGAGTGACCAAGATCAAATGGAACTTGAACGTAACTCAGCTGTGTTTTTGTAGGTAAAATTTTGTGCTGTTGATCTTGGCATCAACCTTAGTACTTGAAATTTTAGAGACCATCGGCTGAGGTGATAAAAGAATAAAAGAGAGTGACATACTATTGCAGATGCATTTTCTACAAGAAGATGGTGACAATTTGGTAAAAACAATATATCCCATGCATGGAACTTTGAACACACCAAGATTGTCTGCATTTTACCATTAACTTTCCATAATAAGCATTCTAATAAGCATAACAATTGCTAAACTCACACAATTAAATTTGCTAGCTAAACTCTTAGCACATTATTACATAACTAAGACCCTCGTACTCATCACCATTGACTTATTACAAAGTTACCAAGTTAAATATAGCTCAAATACTTTGAGTCATCGTTACACGAAACCATTAACTTTGTCCTTTTAATTTCCTGAGGAACCCTCATATATACAAGAGCGGAAAAAAAAAAAAATTTATGCGCATTTAGATACAGGAAGGAATTCATTGCCAGTTGCTCGTCTTAACCATATCGTAGAACGAGTCTTTTTAACATGATCCAAGAAAAGTCTATGCCTGTAAATAATTGAAAAAAAGATTCTAAGAGTTTTTGTAAATGGATTCTGATCAAATTCGAGTTTGTAGTACTAACCTCTGAAACTCTAGCTTTTGTATAACTATACCATTCAGTAGAAGCTCTGACCTGAAAATCTCAGCTCCTGAAATAGCCAATATCACAATATAATGAGCAACGTTTTTCTTTAAAGATTTGAATTCAGATGAAGAAGAATCTTTACCTTTCTCAAGAAAAGGAATGCAAGTGGAATAATCTTCTTCACAAGAAAGAACCAAAAGATCATCAGGTATTTTGTCATCCTTCATCATGGATCTCCCAATTCGCTCAATTGGCTGCAATTTTAGAAAGATCAAACTTATAACTTATAATGTACATAAAGGATAAAACAAGTTCCTTAAAACGGATCTTAACACGAGATGAACATTTGTGAAAATATAGAAATACTTCTAAAAATGTCAAAGACTAGTACAATCATATAAGGAAGAAAAAGTTGGCTCCCTCTCGAAAAGTTTGATAATTGTGTTACTATTCTCTGATTAGAGAATATTACTGAAAATACCCAAAATTTTGCATTGTTTTTTTTAATTTTAATGGGCTAACTGAGTCAAGATTAGGTTTCCTGAGTATTTAAATGATGACGCAAATGCTTTACACAGTAAGGTAATCTCCGAAGAGTAATCAAACTGATATAGACAAGATCTGGAATGTATATTTGGGGCCCAAACAAAGGAAAGGAAAGCTAATAAAGTATACAACTTTTCCTTCAAATCTCTGAATAATATATTGATCGTTACTCTGATACCAGATTTTGCCTGTTTCATTGAATTAGACTTTTTATCAAGTTTTTAATTAAAACCATAACATATTTCTTCTTCCCCCCCCCCCCCCCCCCCCCTTTTTTTTTTTTTAATAAGATGAAGAAGAACAAGATTTTGAGCAGGAACTAACCATAGGTTCCTTGCCTCTTTCTACATAAGCTAAAATATAAGGAACATAAAAAAGACTGCAACTATAATAAAACAGGAAAAATGCTTAGTGGTACGAAACAACAACATAGTACACCAGCATTAGATTCAAAGAAGTGCAGCAAATCAAAGATCTATAACGCGGAGAAGCAAGACAAAGTCTAGTGATTGATATTTTTCAAGTCATATAGACCAAGCTTTCACCTCTAAACTTCAGATAACAAAAACTAAAGAGCTAATAGAACAGCAAAATACCTGGCCATGAGCTGCCTTAACAAGTTTGGACATAACTTCCCTCCTAGGTTGTATGTTTGGTGTAATATACACCCTTCTACCCTGGAAGCAGTAAAAAATTAGACCAAGAAAAAATTGTATTCAAAATGAAACTACCATAGTGCATTTTCAAATGATCAAAGCACTTGAATAGGCAACAAAGATTATATAAAGTACCTGCAACAGTGGATTTTGGAATGCACGAGCTAATGAAACAGGCATGCTGAACCCAATTTCTATTTCCTTCTTAACATCTCTCAAAATATATTTTTTCTCATCAGTAAAACAGCTAGCTTGCCCGCAGCTCTCAAGCCACATATGTGTCACCACCAGTTTGCCCATAGCCATTGCTTCTAGCATGTTCCTCGTACGCACAAAATTATCTGCTACAAAATGCGTAGCATCTGAAATTGAGGTCGCAAGCTGAACACTTAAGCATCCCATGACCTATAAAGAAAACCCAAATTATGTAACCTAATTAGAGAGATAAGTAAATGCGAGTTGCAATAGCACTTTACCTTTTTTTGTTGTTTGACAATATCATCATCCAAATGTCGGCTAAACAAAACACGAACACTTGTCATATCTTTCCTTCTTCTGGTATTAAACATGGGACTTGGAGATGGTATGCTGGCTTCCAATTGCGTTAGCTCCTTAGGAATTACTGACTGGCGTCTACTTTCATTTCCTGGTGTTCTTTTATAGTTGCCTGCAACACAAACAGGAGACACTGCATCTACATCTTTGACAGTTGTTGGCCGAAGATTTTCACAAGTAGATTTTTCAGTTTTGGCATTTTCCTCTGCAACTTCAACTTGATTATTAAAACCTACAACTCGCTTGAGTTGTGGAGTAGAACAAGGATTGGTCATTTCATTTGAACAACTCATCAAAGCATTTTCTACATTAGGCATAAGTGAAGAAGATTTTGAAGATGACCTTGTTCTCACACCAGATACCATGCTCGTACAAACTGATTTTCTCTTCCTTTTTGCAGTATCTAGGGTTTCAGAAATGCTTTCGATAGCAGTTTTAGTATTTCTTTGTTTAGTCCTATGTTGTATGTTGTCATCTAATGGTGATGGAAATTCCTGAGCAGTTTGCCTCATTATCATCTGTTTTGATTGGGCAAAAACATCTTTTACAGGAGAACCATCTTTTACCACTTCATCCAGACGCTCATTATCTTGAGCATTAGAGTAGCTTGGATTTTTTACTTCCGCATTTTGAACAGAATCAATGTCAGAACGCTTCCTTTTCGTTTTACCATGAATACTTACATTTGTCATCGCATTTGTATCTTCTCTATAATCACTAGCTATGTCTTCTTCAGCCTTTTGTGCTAGTCTAACTGCTTTTAAATGCCTAGTACGAAGTGCAATAGGTGTAGAATTAATACCAACACTGCCTTTTATGAGTTCATTGTTCAATGACAATTGGTTACTCAATGTCCCTGGCTCCGAACATTTGTGAGCCTCCCCTTTAGAAGCTTCATCCATTTGTCTCAGTGCCTTCTCTCCTTTGATAGATATAGAACATTTAGTTTTATTGGCTAAACTCTTGGTATCTAAACTTTGTTCTAGATCCTTTTTCCCCCTCCTTGATTTAGTTTTCTCTGTTGTGCACTCCAAACTTTTTTGTTCTTTTGAATTACCCTTCGACGTAACATGCACTTCCAGCTTTGAGTTGGTATAAAGCATCTTTCTTTTCTTGGACCGTGTTGAAACACCTTCAAAGTTGGGTGTAGAGGAAGCAAACTTTCTTGAAGAAGCAGCTTGTGAAGAATTTTCATGTATTAATGGCTCCATAGCTTCCACCGCCATTTGAGTATCAGGACAATATTCACATATACCCTCTTCACCTCTATCCACATCAGTTGGCTTCAATTGCTGATCCAAAGATTTTGAGTTTGGTTGCTCATTTATATCCTTGAAAAGATTCTTCCTTGCTCTTGTTTCAGCTACAAATGCCTTTTCATTCATTAAAGAACTGTGTTCCATGAACCTTGAACCTAAATGATTAAAATTTGTTAGGTACGGATAATTTCTGTGTTCATCACCTTGGTCTTTAAGGACGGCATCTGGGACAATTGGTGGTAGGCTGAGTGATCTCTGTTCAACTCTTCCAAAAAAGAAATCTTTTCTTCTAGTGAAAAAATCACCTCCTCCCTCATCCTCTAGATTGTCAATCCACTCAAAGGTTCCAATTTTCCCAACTGGACTTTTGTGACCAGTTTTTTTAGCCAAGATCCGAACACCTTTAGCATTTGATGTAGGTGGAGACTTCACTGTATCAGTACTCATCTCGGATTTATATTCTTGAGACAATCCTAAATCATTAACCACAAGAAACTTATTGACGACATCCAATGCATTAGCTTGAGACAGATCTCCAGGTACTGGGGACACAATATACGTTAATCCTGCAATATTATCAGGTACAGAAGAACTCGGTGAATACACATGTCCATTGTTGTTGTTAGGCATGATTGTGCTTTCTTCCTCATCTGATTCCGTGTCATAGAGAAGTTTTTTCACTACTTGATTATTTTTTCTGTTCATTTCATCCCTATGGTAGTCCTTTGTACACTTCTCAGAGGCTCCCCTCTCATGAACCCTTGCTATTTCACCTACAACATTGTCCTGGTTGTTATGGGTTTCACCATTATTAAATAAAGAACTCAACACAACATCGGCTGCCTTAGAGCTCTGAGCAGCAGCACGACCAGAAGCTCGTAATGAAGCTGCACGAACTGCTACAAAGCTCCTCATAGACCCTACAAAAGATGCGCAGGAATTTCATGTCGGTAGGGGAGAAAATGAAATCTAAATATGGTATGAAATCTTGGTTTTTACGCCTTTCACCATTATTAAGTAAAGCTTTCAACTCAACATTGTCTGCCTTAGAGGGCTTTGTCTGAGCAGCAACAAAGCCAGAAGCCCGTAATGATGCAGTACAAACTGATGCAAAGCTTCTCACAGACCCTAGATAAGATGCACAGGAATTTTTCATTTGAGTAGGGGAGAAAATGTAATTTAAAATGGTATCAAATCTTGGTTGTTATTGCGATCACCATTATTAGATAAAGCTTTAAACTCAACATTGTCTGCCTCAGAGGGGTTTCTTCGAGCAGCAGCAAGACCAGAAGCTCGTAAGGATGCTGTACGAACTGCTGCAAAGCTCCTTGCAGACCCTAGATAAGATGCACGGGAATTTCATGTCACCAGGAGAGAATTTAATTAAAAATGATGCCAAATTTGCAAGGTTGATGTAATCAACCCAAGTTCAAGTTGTCAGAAAGCAAATGTAGGAGAAGAATCATTGACAAGTATAATTACTGTTATTGGACTTGCAAGAACCTTCATTTTGCAGTACCTCTGAAGAAACATAGTCTTCTGTTGAACAAAATAAGTAAAGAGCAAAGTATTTATGTAAGTAAATACCTAAGCTATAAGAAAGGCCAAATGGAAAATTCCAACAATAAAAAAGCAATCACGTAAGAAATCAGCATGAATATTAGTGACAGGAAAGATATACAACGAAATTCAAAATCAACAGCTTTGTGCGCCATGTCTCGTTCTGGGCCTTAATGATCTTTAAGTCCATGGAAATTTGAAAATCAATGGGCAATAGGAACACGTAATATTTAGACTTCAAATAACTGCTGAAACATCTGCAAATGACATTCCAAAGTAAACTGATACGTCACCACAAAGTCTACTCAGCTATCAGCCATGATATGTAGAACACTCCAACAAAAAGATTGGATTGTTTGATAAACCCAGACGTAACGCATGTGCCCATATGTGTCTGACACCTACATATTGATAAACTACAAACACCTACAAATTGATAAACCTGGACATAATGCATGGGCCTGTATTATGTCCCATTTGATGAAAGGTAGTTATTTTTACTGAACTTAGGTTCTTTCTTCTTTGTTTGTGAGCGTGCACATGTGCGCGAGGGAGCAGGTGCAGGCGAGTGCATGTGAGTGTGTGCGCGCGTACCCGCATACATGTGTTTAGGCGCATGAGTGCCCATATATGCGCGTGCATGTATATAATTACACCTATTTTTACAAGTCAGATATGCATATATGTGAAAAAAGATGCGTACATAGTCATGTTCCTGCAGTTGGATTTGAGACAATATTGATGTATCTTGCACCCCTGGATGTGTTGGAGCATGAGACTCCTATTAGTGGCTACAGAAATAGTTTATCAGGCACCAAAAAACAATGCCTTCACCCTAAACCGTGAAATTTTCAAAGAATGACCTTATGTCATTGAAATTATAACTTGGAAAGGGGTTCAGCGGAGAGATTTGTATTTGGTGATTACCACAAAATGTTGTCTCCTATATAAATATATGACATTCTTTCATTTTTGGCATCTCATAAAATCAGTAGATATCCATAATTACAATATAATGCCATAGACATTTATAATCAGAGAGAATGTAATTCAAGTGAGAATTCTTAATTGTATAGAATGCTATGGCGGCTAGAAAGGCAAGTTCTACAAGTGCCCCAGTCATAAATTGTTGGATTAAATCTAATTATGAGCACATATGTTAAATTCTTGTGTAATGCTACCTTTAAAGTTAACCCGCATAAAATGATCAATCAATTAATTGGGTTAATGAGTGTTTAAATATGTCATGGGCTAATTGTGTAGATATTAGATTGCAAGTCTAATTTGATGAGGGGCCAAATTAGAAAATAGCAATATCTATATAAAGGGGTTATGATCCCTAATCTAAGGGTGACGTTCTCTGTTTTCTTAATCCCCATCTAGAGAGAAACAAAAGGAGATACCCTTTAGATTAGAAGATCTCAAACCCTAATTCAGAATTTCTTCATGGATTCATGTATGTTTCCGCTAATTCATCTCATTAATCTCCTCTTTGAATAAATCATGGTTCTTAATTATATTGTATGATTAAGATCAACATAAGGATATCAAGTGGTATCAGAATCACCGTGATTAATTCTTAGGGATCTAAGTTTAAGATGAAGAAATTAGGGTTTTGATCTTAATTTTGTTTTATTAAGATCTGTTGCACAATTGCACTGTAGCGTACATGTTTTTGTTCAAACTCTCTTTTGGTTCAATCTGCATCAAATTCTTTATCCAGATTGTGTGCAATTGTATTGTTTGGCCGTCGGTCGCTGGTCTCTTCGCCGGCGATCTAGTGGCTGGCAGTCCCACTATCAAATAAAGACAATGGCGGTGGCAATCAGGAAACCCTAGGGTTTCAACCATAGGGTGCAGGAGCTTAAGCGGCGGCGGCCATCAAGAACAAAACCCTAAGGGGTGCAGGAATTAGGGCACAAGAGGTTACCTGAATTTAGGCAAGCCTCAATTAGGTTGCAGGCGAGCTTCGTCAGCAGAACCGCAGGTGAGTTTAACTCAGGCGAGCCTCGTCGGCGACCTCAGCAGGCGAGCTCGAAGTTCAGTTGTAGGCGAGCTTTTCGGCTACCTCAGCAAACGAACCTTGTCGGCATAGTTATAGGTGAGCTCAAGCATATTTAGGCGAGCTCGAGCCTTATTCAGGCGAACTCAAAGATCTATTCAGGCGAGCTCGAACATCAATTCAGGTGAGCCTCGTCAGGAACTCTGTAGGCGAGCTCGAAGAACAAGTTAGGCGAGCTTGAGTTTTCGATTCAAGCGAGCTTCTTCGGTATAGTAGCAAGCAAGCTCGAATTCCGAATTGCAAGCAAGCCTCGTCGGCTAAAAGCTGAAGGCGAGCTTCGTCAGTTTTGTTAGGCTTGCATGCCGAAGCCCACTTAAGTTTTTATTTTGAGCCTGTAACTAATTAAAGTATGGATTATTTGAATTGCACAAATAATTTATTAAGTTATGGAAGTTTTTCTTATTAATTAAGTTACTAGTGTGCATCCCGTGCAAAGCACTGCCCTTATTTTTTTATTACTACTACGGTAATTCTGTTTTTAAATATATTTTGTAAGTGCTACAGTAACATTTTTTAAATGTTGTGGTATCCCGATTGTGCTGCAGTGATAATGCTACAATGTATATTTTAAAACGCTACAAGTCCCGTATGTGCTACAGTGATTTACTGTATCATTTACTATAACATAAATAGTAAATCTTAGATCCTCCTATTATTATAAAGGAATAGATGGGCCTCATTAAATTATGGTCCTTTCTTAAGCTTAATTAAATAGAAAAACTTATGGGCCCTTTATTAAGCTGTGGAAATTCTTTTTTAATTTGAATTAAAATTATTTAATTTGAATTAAATTGGTAGTTAATTAATTATTTAATTTAAATAATATGACAATAAGGTATTAAGTTTGTCTCTCATTCTAAATGATTAATTAAAACAAGATGTTACCAAAGTAACCTCTCTTGTGTAAATTATTCATGAGGGATGTTAGATGTCTGTAGGTATGTTTTCGTGTAAATATTTAATCGGTCCAAAGGAAGGTTAATATTTATTTAGATTGCATACACATCTGCGTCGATAAACGCGTGATAATTATAAGGTTTACATGTGAATAATGAATAAATCCAAAGATATTTTTATTATTTGACATGCGTTATTATCAGGGTTTGATCATTGCAACAAAGTATCACTTACAATTAATATTACTGTCCAAAGACTTGATATTAATGTTGTGCTAGATATCTTGAGATGAGATTTGTCATTATTTAAATTTTATTGATTATTGATTATAGTTAATAATGTGAATATCTTTTGTTTATTTCAGCTAATGCATCTGCTGTAATAATTTCTGCTAACATCAATTCAATTCCCATGCTCAATGGAACATGTTTCAAGGTTTGGAAAGAGAACATTCTAATTGTTCTTAGCTACATGGATCTAGACCTTACATTAAGAATTGAACAACCCCAACTTCTCACTACGGATAGCACTCCTGATGCAAAGAAAGAGTGAGAAATGGGAGCATTCAAATCGTATGAGTCTAATGATCATTAAGCGTGGCGTTCCGGAAGCTTTCAGGGGCATAGAATCCGAAGTGTTTACTAAAACCAAAGATTTTTTTGTCGAAATTAAGAAACGTTTTGCTAAAAATGATAAGGTAGAAACAAGCTCGCTTTTAGCTCGCTTGATTTCGATGAAGTATAAGGACAAAGAAAATATCAAGGAGTACATCATGGAAATGTCTCATATTGCTTCAAAACTTAAGATACTTAAACTTGATTTATGTGATGAGTTACTGGTGCATCTGGTTCTGTTGTCTCTTCCTACACAATTTAATCAATTTAAGGTCAATTATAACTGCCAAAAGGAAAAATGGACTCTAAATGAGCTCATTTCATACTTTGTGCAAGAAGAAGACATGTTAAAATAAGATAAGACTGAAAGTGCTCATTTGGCCTGTGCCTCTAACAGTGTTCTAAAAAACGGCCTGGGCGGCCGCCTAGGCGCCCGCCTAGGCGGAGGCGGTGCTCAGGGCGTGCAGAAATGCCCTGAGCGGCCACGTTTAGGCGCTGGAAGCGCCTAGGCGGCCGCCCAAGGCTAAGCGGGCCGCCTCACAATTTAAATAGAAAAAAACGAAAATCCAAACCCAAAACCCGTAACCCAAACCCAAAACCCAAAACCCAAAATACAAACAAAGAAAAAATAACCCTAATCTAACTCTCCTGACGCCGCCAGAACCTCAGAGCTCTCGTCTTCGTCCTGGGCGTCCGATCTCGTCTTCGTCCTGGGCTTCCGATTCGTCTTCGTCCTTCGCTTCCGATCTTGGCTTCGTCCTTCGCTTCCGATCTCGTCTTCGAGCTCAACTTCCGACCTCGTTCTCATGCAACATTAACGATGTTTTCACACATTAATCCACTTTTATTAAATGTTAACTTAATATATTTATATTATATTAAGTTTAATTGTTTAAGTTTAAACTGTAAATCTCAGAATTTTGAAAGAGAAAGTAAATATGTAATCATGGGGCTGTTTAATTGTTTAAGTTTAATTTTAAGTTCATTTTAAGTTTATAAGTAATTTTTGTTGTTCAAGGTTGTTCAAAGTTTAATTGTTCAAAGATTACATTTGTCCAAAGATTACAACTGCATTTGTTCAAAGATTACAACTGCATTTGTTCAAACTTCAAAGATTACATTTGTCCAACAGGACTGCATTTGTTCAAAGATTACAACTGCATTTGTTCAAAGATTACAAGTTTACAACTGTACATGGATCACCGCATTCACCTTGTAGTGATAGTTGCAGCAATAACGAATGAAGTTGCTGTTTTTTACCTACAAAATAGAACAATAATAAGTTTGGATAGCATATGTGTTGGTATTTTTGTATTTATGTAATGTTGATTGAGTATATATATATATATCTCTTCAAGTATCACAATTAAAAAAAGAAAAGAAAAAAACCGCCCAGAAACCGCTTA